TGCACGCATGTACCAGGTTTAGGCTATGCCAGGCATGGGATGCATAGTAAATATCATAGTCTCACCCTCATGGAGAAGCCAATATAGTGAATATTATAGTGGAAAACTACAAATCATGGCATAAATTGCCAGTAGTATGTATCACTTCCTGGTGGCTAGTCTTCTTTTTCCCCTTTTTTCCTTTGCAACCTTTCCTGTGCCACCACTCCTGGCATGCTGCAGAACCCTAAAAGCCCACCTTTCCCTAGCAGTAGCCTGACATTACAGGGTGGTGGACAGAATGCAGACTGGCTCCACTCTGCTTTTACAAGTTCATTCATCCATCATTGTTGTGCAGGGGAGGTTACCAGTTTGTTGAGCCTGACTGGGAGACACACCACAGATCTCTGAAAGTCTAGATGCCACCAGAGATGATCCTGTCTATTTTGTTTATCTTATAGGTAAGGTAACTGAGGCCTCAAGAGGGGACATGATTTCCACAAGGTCACACAGCTAGTTGGTGTTGCCACTGAGATTCCTAATATTGATCTCAGCAGTTTTCTGTTTGTGTCTGTGCCTCCCTTTTAGACTGCGAGCCTCTTTTGGTCCCAAGTCACACACACACATGCAACACACACACTAAAGCTTTTAACAGTTAGAAAAGGATAACAAATGGAACCTGCTTTCTGTATCTTCCATGTGAGTAAAAAAAAAAATTGTTTTCATTTACCTCCCCACATCTGACCAACACCAAAGAAGTAAGGTAAATATTAGTTGACCAAAATGTACATATGCCTTTGGCTTAGAACTTACGAACCTGTTTCATTTGCTCTCCACCACAAGAGGAGGAGGGATGGGGAGAGAGTTGGGCTGTATTTGAATCTTTATTTTAAAGCTGTGGAAACCAAGGTTCAGACAGGTTGAGTGACTTGTATGAGGTCACAGGGGAGTGTCCAGTGGTCTGCACAGGTTCAGAATGGTGTTCTTTCCACATTATGGGTCCCACTGAGCATAGCTAGTCATTCCACATCAGTGGCTTCTGTATATTGTGAGTGGGTTTTCCTGGTGGTCAAAATGAACATGCTTAAGATTTACACTGATTGGGTGAAATAATTCTGGAATGGGTGTGTGTGGATTGCTTTTGAAGTCTGCAGAGAGAAATTTAAATGACTCTAGATGCAGTGGTATATATATAATTATCAACAGGAAAGGAAAAGTGTTCAGGTTCATTGAAAACTCTCTCTGTGTTTACTACACACCCCAGATCTGTGCTCCTTTTTATCTAAATTTATCACTGACGTATTTTGGAAAAGCATCAAATGTACCTGGTATTTTATAGAATTAAGAAAAATATTATGTAAAATAATTTAATGTACCATCTTTACAGTTGTGCTTTAGAAAGGACAGGAAGAAACAATCAAAGGAAAACAATCAAATCAGCTTTAAATCATCTGGAAGATCAAACTGTTCCCATGTTTCTCTTCCAAAGTGAAGGTATTTGTTTTTCAGTATTTGGTTATCGATTTATGCAACAGTTTTCTGACCTGGGGAAAGATGGGGTCTCTAACTTTAATTGTTTTTTAATGACTTCTGAATTGTCCATTCTGTGTTCAGATTTAGTTACACATAGCAAATTTGAGGGCATCTAGAAAAGTTTGAGTTGGGATTATAAACCCTAATGAGAATTGTTTATAATCACCTCTCGTAATAGTTAAGATTGACTGTCTTGAGTATAAACTATGTGTTCTGTTCAGCACTGAGTATTTCACATGGATTGTCTTATTTAATCCTCATGACAGCCACCTAAGCTGTTCCCGTTTTACACACATCACCATTTTATACAGGAAGAAACTGAGGCTAAGGCAGGCTAATGACTTGTTTCACTAAGCGGCAATGGGGGATATGAACTAGAATGAGGCCGACTGATCTTGGAGTCTCATTCTTAACCCCTGTTGCCTTAGAGCCATGGGAAAGAGAAAGTAGAAACCAATCAAATATTTCTATATAGCAAATTCATAAGCTCTTCCCTTTGGGAAATATGATTTTTTTATGATAGCAAATGCTGGTCACCCTGACCTAACATTTTGCCTTTGGGGAATGGCAAATATCACTTCTCCAACATACAGAGGAAGCATTTAGCTCCACAGATGCCCAACTTCAGCCCAGGCAGGAAACCATCTCTTCAGATAAAAGGCCACTGATGATCTGAGCTGAATAAGACCTTGCTGCATGTGCTAGTCCAGAATTTCTCAAACTCCAACGTGTGCATGAATCCCCTAGCAGGTCTTGTTAAAACAGAGACTCTGATTCAATGGTCCAGGGTGGGGTCCAGGATTCTGCATTTCTAACAAGTGGTCAGGAGAGGCTGATGCTGCTGGTCAGTGGGCCACACTGTGAGTACATAGGCATTAGTAAACCTCCAGAGGCTTCAGTGAAACTTAGCTAGGCCTCATTTGCCTCCTCTGTAAAGTGCAGTTAATAATAATAGCTCTCTCAAAGGATTGTAGTGTATCTGTACAGGTAAAATGGGGTCGACTGAGCAGTGAACGGGAAATTACAGCCCATTGTGGTAAGTGGGTGGAGAGGAAAGGCCAGGGAGCTCTGGAAGCATAGCGCAGGGACCCCAAATTCCAACATATGGTGGAAGCTCTGGGAAGGCTCCCTGGGAGCAGGGATGGCTGGGATGAAACAGGGAAGGTAAGTAGGAAGGAAGCAGGTGGGGGGATGGGGTGGGGGATGCGGGCAGAGGGAAGGGATGTGAGGGCCCTGGTGCAGGTCAGGATTCTGCGAGGCTGCCTCTGGGGCCAGGTGGGGTGAGGGCGGGCTGCAGAAGGGTTGGTGAAAGTGAGGGCAGAGTGGGGCAAGACTGCCACTTCCGGGGTGGACATTACTGATCCCTGACAGCATCGCGTTTCTTCCCTGAGGGTGGCATTTGGAATGACAGAGCCAGACCCCATGTGCAGGTTCCTTTTGCTTTGGGAGACAGAGGGCAGTTAGGCCCTGCCTGTGTCTGGACACCTGGAAGCGTGACATATGACAGGGCAGAGCGACCCAAGGTGAAACATGGTCTAGAGCCCCAGCAGGACAGGTCTGGCCTGGGGACTTTACCCTGCATTAGGGCCAAGTGCAGCACTGGGCACAATGTGTGCACTACAGTGGGTAAGGGGCGGGAGGGCAGTTAGGAAGGGCTCATAGGGAGTTCTACCGACAAAATCTACAGGAAAGTAGAAAAGATGAAGTAAATGCAGAATTGGTGCTGTAGTCTAATTTAAAGGTTGGGGAGTCTGAATGCCTGGGAGGGAAAGAGTATAGAAACAGGGCCTCAGAGAGGGAGGAGAGTGGAGGGGAGGAAGGGAAGGAGGGAGGAAAAGGAAGAGAAAGACACAGAGAGGAGCGAATGAGTGAGAGAAAGAAGGAAAAGGAGGAAGAGGAGGAGGAGAGAAGAGGAGGCGAGGCGAGGGGAGGGAAAGGGAAGGAATGGGAGAGGTGGGAAGGCGAGATGCTGAGAGCTGAGAGGCAGTATTCCCAGAGGCAGAGCTGGAGATCTGTCTGTGCTGGTGAGGCAAATGAATACTTTAGCAGGGTTTGAAATAGAAGCACTTTTTTAAAAGAAGCGATCCCAAAGACTGGAAGAATCTGGCAGAGGGAAAGTAGAACATGGACTCCAAATGCAAACAGACCTGGCTTTGTGTTCCATCTTTGACACTGACTTACTGTGTGACCTTGGGCGAGTTGCTTAAATTCTCTGTATTTCAGAATCCTCCTGAATGAGAAGAAATAAGAAAGCCCAATTCACAAACTTGTTAGGAGACGCAAATGAATTTCAGAAGTGTAGCTCCTCACACATGGTTGGCACTCGGGAAACATGTTTCTGTGCTATGCAGGTTGTCCCCTGGAATTGAAAGAGAAACTGGCCCCCAGCAGGCTGGAGGGCCAGTTTGAAGAACTGAAATTCCAAGGCTGAAGGAGCACTGATGGCAGGGACCATTTTTGCTTTCAAATTCCGCCAAGCTGGGTGTGGAAATGTTCAGTTGCTCTGTGGGCTGACTGTGTGCCTTAGCTCAAACAGGCATGGAAGTGCCGAGAGCACTGTGGGAGGAGAAAGGCTGGAACTCAGAGGAGTGATCTTTGATAGAGAAAGCATCCCCATATCCAGAGTAAAGAGAAAAGCTAAGATTCACTAAGAGGAACACAGAGCCTTAAGCCTTGTACTCAGCAAGCAGGTAAAAGGTTCCCTATTGTTATCTCCAGTAGACTGTATGTTAGAGGTGAGCATGGTACAATAATTCACAGACTGGGGATTATGATTTGCACGTCATCTCGTTTTATAGTTTGAAATTAGTTTCATTGACATCATTTGTTCAGTCATTCAACAAACATTCATTGAGTGCCTAGGTTGTGCAGGCACTCATCTTGGGTATAGATGAATAGTGCTTTTAAATGGACTCCCTTCGGGGGTTCTTCCTGCCTTCTATTGAAGGGAATAATTAAGAGTGAACTTAATTTCCTTTCTATTTCAGCTAGGCCTGGGGAAACTTGCATTTGCATGCCTTCTCCTTTGGTGATACCTGAGTGGTTAGCTAGCTATGGTTAGTCAATTCTGTTGGTTAATGAACTGAGCAAAGAGGTCAAGGTCATGGTTCTGATCCCCAGGGGGCTGATTTACTGCTCCTCTTTTGCACACCATCCTTTTTTGTTCACCCTCAGTGTATATGCTTCCTCCCCTCTCAAGGCTTTGAATAAATTTTTCACTTTGCAGAAAGCCATCTCACTCCAGCCATTAGTTATTGACATTCAATGTCATTTCCTTAGCAAAGCTTGACTCACCACCCCCAGACCTGGTCGGGTGTCTCCACATACATTTCCATCGTGCCATGTAGTTCTCTAGTGGCATTTATTAGTATTTAAAATTATACTTTATTTTTTATATTGATTTTTATGTTGATTATATTGATTAATGTCTGTCTCCTTGAGTTCATTAGGATGGTGTTCAGCTGCAAGTAATAGGAAATTTGACTGACTATAGTTTAAACACAGAAAAGTTTATTTGTCTGCCATGACAAGATGGGCCATCCAGCAGAGGTCTAGTGGCTCGACATTGCCACATAGGACTCTGACTCCTTTCCTCTTCTTTCTCTGCTGTCTCTAGTAAAAATCTTTAGTCCTCATGTTTATAAGATGACTGCTGCTCCACAGGCCTAGTATCTGTATTCTAGCCAGAAAGAAGGGAGAAGAGGAAAAGTGAGTATCAACTGACTACTGTGTGTTTATGTCTCATGACAAGACCTGGGTCACATTACAACTTCCTTCTAGCTGCAAGGATACCTAAGAAGTTAGGTCGTTGCTGCTGCTATTTAGCTCTTACAGCCTATAAAATGGAGGCATTCCAGAGAGAAAAGGTAAACCAACTACAGTGGATCAACCTGCAGTGCCTTCCGTACTCCTTTACTACTTCAATAACTGAGGGGGCAGGAACCATGTTTCTTTTGTTCACCACTGTAGGTCCACCTTGTACAATATCTGTCCCATTATAGGTACCCAGTAAGCTTTTGTTAAATGTAAATAAATGACATCTTGCAGAAAGCATCTCCCACTTTAGGTCTTAAGAGGAATCCAGAGGATAGATAGATCAATGCCATCTTGCCACTGCAGGTGAGAAGAATTTGAAATAGACACCATCAGGGGCCCCACTAGCCTTCACATTGCTTTTGCATTAATTAGGAAAACGCATCCACCCCTTCCTCAAGACACGTTACTGCCATCTACTGGAAAATTGTCTTAATAAAATGATAAATCTGCCACATCAACCATGTCAGTGGTGCCCCTGTAGATGCGATGAGGTTGTTGATCATACAACCTGCATGGCCATGTATGTCCGCCTTGCAGGAAATTCAAGCATGTACCACCAGTAAGGTGGATGTGCCCAATGAAGAAGCCATCTGTCCTATCTCCTGAAGCAGAGGCAGGGAGCACTTTCAATGAGCACAGCTGAAGATTTTACTAGGGCTGATGGGACCTTGCCATATGTAAAGGTTTATTATTCTGAGCAGGGGTATGCTAAGAAGCCCAGAAAGTGTGTGTGATTTCTGCTCTTCACTTTTGCCTCCATAATATCATAAGAATTGCTAATCCTAAATTTTAGTTTCTCCATCTCTCCAAATTGGGGGCAAGAATACCTACCTCAAGAGATGTATTTGAATATCCACTGAGATAATGTACATTGAAGGGTTTGGGAATCTGCTCAACATTAGAAAAATATCAACTACGGTTAGCATGGAGAGCTGGCAGGCAACAGTGAGTGTTCAGATCTTATCTTCTACCATTATCCAGCCGCATGACCTTGGGCATGTTACTTAATTTCTCTGGGGCCCAGTTTTCTCATGTGTAAAATAGGTATGATGATATTAGAACCTATTGCCCAGAATGGTTGTGAGGATTAAAATTAGTTATAAGTATTCAATGAATGTTAACTACTAACTTTAAGGCAGCTGTGCTCTGCATTTGGTATTTAGTATTTCATTGAAATTCTTAAATATGTCCCCCTTTTGATTTTTTGAAAAGAAAAAGCACAAACCAGAAAATGAAATGAAACAAAAGGGTTCCTAGGCCTTTTTGCAAAGAGAGCTGAGACTGTGGGAAAAGAGTGATTAGCACATTTCTAGGACTCTGGGTCTGTTGTGATGTCTCTGATGTGTGAAAAGGAAGCCTCCTTTTTGGAGACCTTCTCCTCCCCTCCCCCAACCTCACACCACCCCCAAACACTTTGGCCAAATTTGGATGCTGGTCCTTCTAGATCGTAGCTGGAATTTCGCACGAAGTGGTCGGTGAGATTGATTTCATGGAAATTTCATGATTTGCAAAGCAAAAGGAATGGAAGGGAAGAGAAGGCCAGCCAGGCAGGTACGGAGGCTCATATCAGCCTGGAAGAATCTCGGTTTCCACATGCTCTGCCTCTTCTTTCCACACCCCTCCTCCCTCTGAGGTGAAACTCCTTGACTGCTGAGAAAAATCTGTTCAGATACTGGAGCAGTGAAACAGAAGGGTAGAGGATTTTGAAATAGAAAGCAAGCAACAAAATTGTTAATTCAATTGCTGTCTAGGCCGACTTTCTCATGTACAACCTCCCAGAGCCGGATTGGCCTAATTGTCTCGTAACAATATTTTATCCTGTCCTCTGTTCCATTTGTCTACTCTTCACGCTGCCAGTGTCCCTCCCCCTGATCTCTTTAGGGTGTAGAGTTATGGAGGAAACAAGATGTTTTCCATTCATTTCTCATATCAAATTTCGCTGTAATAAATAGTACTTCATTTTCCTTCCTTCTGCCCCACAGACAGAAAACGCTGCTGAGCACCTGAGTTCCCGGGCTTGCTTTGCTATATGACCTGAAGCTGACATCTTTTGTGAGTGTGATGGTTTATAGGAGAGTGGTTAAAAATCAGCTCCCATTCTGGTGACTAAATTTTATTGACTTTTCCAGGGCCTGTGGTGGGACTGACATGTCCCCCATTTAATTACTTCCTCCTTTTTGACAGCAGACTGAGTTAACTAGAGGACACGCAGGTGGCTCCGGGGCCGGGTAGCATGGAGTGGTCATGGCTAGGAAGCTGGGAGGGGGCTGGGGTGAGGACAGGCTGGGAATGTACAACCTGCTGGCAGTTGTGAGCTGCGGTTTTACGGTTGCACTGGGGGCAATAACCAAACAGTGGGGCTTTTGGACTAATTTGAAGGATGCTTTGCATAAATCCCAGCTGCTAGCCATATGTCCAACGCTTGTAGAGGGGAGGGTGTGTTTCCCTGGGCTCTTGTTTCCTTTGCTGCAAGTCAAGACTAACCAAGCTTCTGAATGCCCAGCTTCGGTCTTTAGGGGAGGATGGTTGGCCACAAAACCTTGAGCTGATTTAATTACAACCTAAATTTATATTATACTTTACCAGATTTTCCCTTCCAATAATGTTGTGTCATTTTGTCCTCATAAAACAACAATGTATAGGAACCCTCCATTTACAGATGAGAAGACTGAAGCCCAGAGGGACTGTGACCAATCAGAAAAGCCAACGTTGGGGTAGCGTACTAGGGGTCAGACACTCGTCCAAGCCCTTGAGAGCTAGTCATTCATCTCATGCTTATATCAGTCCTACAAGGCAGGTCCATTATTACCCCTGCTCATGGAAGAGGAAGCTGAGCCCAGAGAGGTTACTCACTTGCCCTTGGTTACACAGCCAGTAAGTAGTAGAGCTGGGACTTAAAGCCAGGCAGGCTGGCTCCCGAGTCTGTATTTATAACCACTGTACATGCTGCCAGATGGCTGGGCAGTGACAGAGCTAGATTTCACATGCAAGTACTCACCCTGCAATTTCAGGTTTTCCGTTATGCCAGGCCATCGTCTGAAATGTGCTCCTTAAAGATCCGTAATTCTCAGAAGGATTAGCCACAGCAAGTTAGATTTGGACTCTTTTCATCTGGGATCACAAAGGCTTTCCCTTAAATTTGTTTGATTAGTCCTTCCCTCCTTACTTACCATGAAGTCAGAGGCATACCCAGTCGAAATGAGCTGTAATGCGTGAGGAAATTAGTCTCCAACCAGGGCTTTGGAGAAACGCAGGTGTCTCGGTGTTGAGAGTTGTAAATCTTGGCAGCCTGATAGCTGGAACAGGTATTTTTCTTGCTTGGAAGAATGGGTGTGATTTCTTAGTTAAGGTGTCTCCACAGCCTGTGGTAAGTGTGAACAAACCGGGTGGAAGGGAGGGAGCTGATTTCTGCGATTGTATCTCCAGCTGCCCAGGTTGACTTTCTCACAAGAGGACAAGTAAGAGTTCACTGCACTTTCACTGGGGCCACAAAGAAAACCTCTGGGGGCATCCAGATTTTTAATTTCATAGCCAAAACCAAATGTACCAAATCCAAACCAGTGCAACTCCCACTTTTAGTTCTGAATAGCCGTATTTTGTCCTCATTGGCAAACTAGCTCTGTAGCCAGGCATTGGGTAACATGAGACAAGTCATACAAAAAGCTGGGGTTGAGAAACCACGAACGGAGACTATTGGAAAGAGAAGAACAAAATGGCTTGGACTGTAGTCCTCTTTTGTCATATTAACCTAATTGTTGGGCAACAGTTTGTTTCTCTAGGCTGGGGTCCCCCAGAAGCAGATCCTGCAACAAGGGTGTGGGTGCAAGTTGTTTATTTGGGAGGTGATTCACGGGAGTGGAGAAGTGAGACAGAGAAGGCATGGAAATCCATTCAGTGTTAAAACAGGTTGACATTGTGAGCAACTGAGGCTCCATGCTTCTGGGGACCTCAGGGAGAGGGTGTGGAAGGTGCCTCAAAGTCCCACCTGAGAAGTAGGGCAGCTGGGATGTTTATCCACCATCTCCTATTGGGGTGTGGCCCAGGGTGGCCTCTATGGGTGTTAACTCCCCAGCACTTGGGCCTCTCCCACTTTTGGGCTGAGAGTATTTCGTTTGCTCATAGTAAGTAGGCATCAGGCTACCTGGGGACAATGAGTGCCAAGGGGATGTGAGCAGGGCCCTGACATCATGTGCTGTTCTATGCTGAAGAGCCAAACCAGTTTACGGAGAAGGAAGGTGTGAGAGAAGACAATATATTATAATTAGGATTTTCTTGGTTACAAGTGACAAAATCCTATTCAACCTAGCTTAAACAAAATCATCATCATCATCGTATAGCTCTAGGTGAACAAATAATGCTGTCAGGGCTCTGGTTTCTGTCCATTTCTCCCTTCTGCTCCCTTCTGTGTTGGCCTTACTGTCTGGCTGGCTGAGAAGAGAGTGGGAAAGATGACAACTCTAGGCATACACGGTCCTTGTTCCTCCTGATCTCAGAGGAGAAGAGCACCTTTCTTAATCACTCTGGTTATAATCCTGAGGAAGGCAGTGACTGGGCTCTTGTGTGTCAGGTGCCTGCTATACCAGGTCATGTGGCCAAGAGGACAGAGCACCCTGATAGGCCATTCTCAGGTCATATTCTAAGTTGGAGGAGATGGTGTCATCCTACCTAAACAGCATGGACCAAGCAGAATTTCTCAGATCTGTGGGAGGGGTGGTTCTAGGACTGTGCTGATAAACCAGCTTTAAACAAACCAAGGCCCTGATTTGTAGCTGATGTCCATGCCATAGATATGCCACCATAGCTAATTTCAAGCTACCAGCGTGATGACGCTAAGCATGGAGTTGGGAAGGGGTGCGCACAATCGGCCCTGTGAGCCAGCATGAGCTGGCTCCAGCACACCACTGAGGGACTGTCATAAAAAGGGACCTGGGGTATGCTGTGTGGCCATTAAAGCTGTAAAAGAGAAGGCCATGATGGACCTTGTGGAGCCTTGGGCGCCATTAAGGCCCAGATGAAGAACCAAACAGATAGCTTGCTTTCTTTGGTCTGTATGATGCTTGGGACTGATATATTAAAACAAGTGTTCTTCCCCTACACCCTTCATCTTACAAGCACCTCCAGGAAATGCTTAACTGACGATTTGATGATTTTTAACTGACGATTTGATGATTTTAAAGTAATGTTTAGCCGCTTGCATTTTACTGCTGTGTAAGCTCTGCACGGGCAGGAATCTTCACCTGGTTTGCTCAGTGCTATCTCCCCAGGGTCTAGAAGAGGGCCCAGGAAAACACCGAGGCACTCAATATCTGCTCCATGAATGTGTGACTGACACCATGGAGTTAGATGCATATCCCACCTCACAAACATACCCACCTCGTGAGTAACTGGCCCCTTGCTTGTGATGGCTGAGGTGTGCAGACCTCACTTACATCTCATGGCTGCCACCCCAGGCCCTCCAGGCTTTCTCATCCTAATCCTGAGAAGGACCCCAGTTGTGGACTGCCCTCAACCCACAGGCCACTCTGCTTTCTGGTGTGAGCAAAGTGTGTGACTTCGGCCCTTTGTCCTAAAATTGTCACTTTGTTCCCCTTGCTTTCAGGTTCTCTCACTTGGTGGTCCTTGTTGCTTTAGGCCAGGAGAGGTGCTCTCCCTTCCTGCCCTGGGGTTCAGCCCTTCCCAGGCAGGGGCAGATATGCTGGCTCTTCCTCATTAAGTCACATTTGCCTGCCTGTGCCTGTCTGATTAGTCTCCCTACACATTGGTACAGAGAACTTTCCGGTTTTGCAGTTCTTTTGTTTCCAAATAAAAGCATAGCTAGGAAGCTGCAAGGTTGGAAAGTTGTTAAACACACACACTCACACCAAACCAGATTTGCTGATAACAGGAGAATGGGAAGGCCTGAAGCTGAGGGAGTGTTTCAAGGTCACAGGCAAGGAGGGGCCTGCGGTGGTGGTGATGGAAAAGATGAATAGACAACAGTTGAATGCATTATTTAGTGTGTTCCACATCGCAAAGCCAAGAATGGTTCCCTCGCACCAGAAGATTTGATGTATCAGGCTGGCTGTCTCCTCAGAGGACACCCCCCCAGTCTCCTCTGAGTTCATGGAGACATGGTTGTCTAGGTGACAACTGTCAGGCAAGAAGCTGCAAGCCGAAGAATAAAATCGCCTTGGCTAATAGACCGGCGTGCTATTATGTACCTGAAGGTTTAACTGCTATATTACCCTGAAAGAATCATTTGGAGGGGAGGAAGGAGCTCGCTTTTCCCTGGGCTACATCAGTGAATTCAATTTCTATTGAAGAGAGACTAGCATTTTAAAAACCACGGTGTGTGGAGCTTCGAGTCCTTTTCTTCTTTCGGTGAGAAATGATTTAATAATGAACTTACAACTGCAGGGCCTCCAGTCAGCCCCCTGGAGCCCTGGAAGAGGGAAGAGGTGGTGTGGAGGGTCTGGGGCTGGCAGGCTCCATCCTGTTCTGTCCCTGCTCAGGCCCGGGCTCTGTGACTGAGGTTACCCCAGAGCAACTTGGTTCAGACACGTGTAGAGTCTGAGCGATAATTTTCCTCCCTCACAAGACTGTGGAGTGCCTCTAATTAACGGTTGTGAATTCCTTAGATGGGGCTGTTATCAGATGGAAAGGGGCTAATTGTACTGGTCACAATAGTTAACCTCTTTCAGAAGGAAGGGTATATGCGTGTGTGTGTGTGTGTGTGTGTGTGTGTGTGTGTGTGTGTGTGAAAGAGAGAGAGAGTCTTGGCTCTTTTTGTATTTGAGGCAGAGAAGCCAGAGAATGGTTGAAATTCCTTGGCATTAAGAAACCAGCAAATGAAAGATTGTATTCACCAAGACTTTTTCACCAGCGAAACGGTGGTCAACACTTACTGTGTTTTTTTCTATGTGCCTGCCAGGGTACTAAGCACTTTACCAACTTGACCACATTAACCCTTAGCATTCTGGAGTCTTCAATGTGATTATTATCATCTTCAGTCTACAGACAGGGAAACCAAGGCTTTAAGAGTTTAGGAGATTTGTTCAAGGCCCCACTCATGCTGGCAACAAGTGAGGGGCTTTTATGTTCAAAAGATCCCACCAAAGGCTAAGAGCTCAGTCAGGGAACTTGGGCTTCCTTCATGTATTATGTCTCCATAATAGACAACTTGCCCTGGGCTGTCCCACCCTCCACAGATCTGGGCAACTGCTTGCCTCGCCTTCTGCCCCAATGCCTGTCTCTGCCCTGTATTTTCTCTGGCCCCTTTCCTGAACTACAAGCAGTACCTCTATTCTATTCCCCTGTGGCTCGAGTACCTGGCTTTGAAGTTGCCTACACCCTCTCACAGGCAATCCCTCTAAGATACATACATGTTGGTCACTGTCACATCCTGGGTGCTACTGGGTAGCTGAAGAGGCAAAGATAAATGGCATCATGGCACTGCCTTGAGGTAGCTCATAGTCTGGAGAGAGACTGAGATGTGATACTACACAATCAACATGGCATAATCAGTATAATAATAATGATAATGATAATAAAATAATAATATGAATAATAACAACAGCAACTGTACTTGGAGTGCCTCCTATGTGTCAGGTCTTATTCTGAGCACTGGAAACAAGACTATGAGTTAGGGTACTATTTTTATTTCTACTCTGAAAATGAGAAAATCAAGGCAAAGGGAGATTAGGTAATTTGTCTAAGGTCATATTGGTAGTAATGGCAAAGCAGGAATTTAAACTAATGCACTCTGTCTCCAAAGTTGATGCTATTACCCACTACACTGTATTGTACATATATTGGCCTGCACAGAAGCCTGTATTTATTATAAAGGAAGCCCAGAAGAAGGGCATAAATTCCTTCCTAAGTAGAGTGGCTCATGGAAGAGAAAGAAAAAGGGTATAAATAAGAGAGAGAGAAAAGCCTTGTGTCCAAAACATTAAAGACATAGCACTGGGATCCTGTTTTTGGCTTGTGTTTGAGATTGCATAACAGATGACTCCAAGGCTTAGTGGCTTAAAATAATAATTTTTTATTATTTTTCATGTTTTCTGTGGATCAGGGGTTCAGGAATGGCTCAGTTGGATGTTTTTTTTTTAACTGAAGCACACATGATATACAATCTTATATTGGTTTCAAGCATACAACACAGTGGTTCAAGTTACCCACATTATTAAATCCTCACCCCAACAAGTGCAGTTACTGTCAGCATAGGAAGATATTACAGAACCATTGCCTATGCTCTCCATGCTGTATTACCATCTCTGTGACCAAATTATATTATGATTGAGAATTTTTGTGTCCCTTTAACCCCCTCACCCTCCCCACCCACCCACTGAACCCCTCCCCTATGGTTACTACCCATCACTTCTCAGTGTCTATGAGTCTACTGCTATACTGTTTATTTTGTTTTTAGATTCCACAAATAAGTGAAATCATATGGTATTTGTCTTTCTCCACCTTACTTATCTCACTTAGTGTAATACCCTCTAGGTCCATC